AGGTTTAAGGAGTAGAAGTAGAAGTAGAGATGAAATAAAAGGCTTAAATATGACATTCAAATGTGGAAAAATGTCAAAAAACTTAAAAAATCGTATTGTTTGTCTTTAATATCGGGAAAAGGGAAAGGTATCCAACAAATGAGCTGCTCCCTATATAAATATACCACATGGTTACCTTCATACCAAGTTGGGTGCATCTAGCTGTCATATTCTTTGAGTTATTCTCAAAAGCCTAAATCTCAAGATCGATGTTTATCGATATTATAGAAAGGACAGGAAATATGCACATCAAATTCTGATGTGGGATATAAGAGAATATTTAATTCTAATACACAGAGCTATAGATGGAAGCGGCTCCTCGTGCTTATCAAGAGTTTCCCAATGCCTGCTATCCTACTCTAGGGTATTCTAATAGTTGAAGAGTTTTACATAGTTATCTTTAGCTCACCTCATCATAGTCGCTGGTTGGCTCCTCGCATTGCACACGTTCTTTTTGCGAGGGTAGCGCAAACAGTTTGCGCTGCAAAAAGTTCTTCATGCTGTCGTAGACCTTGTGCGTGCGACTCTGTGCGGGCTCTTCGGCTGCGGCTGCGGCTGCGGCTGCGTCTGCAGCTGGGGCTGCCTCTGTTGTTGGCAGCAGCTTGTTGCTCCATTGTTGGCACTTATTGAAGGCCAGGTCCAGGTTTTTGCCGGCATTGGTGCCATATACATCCGAGTAGCTGGGACAATTGATCACGTTGCGTAACTGTGGCCCAGAAGATGAAAACAATCGTGGAGATTAGTTTTGGTCAAGTCGGTAAATTTGTGTGGCATTGTGCCTAATGCTACCTGTGCCTGAAATGCCTAATAAAAAACAAAACTGTCCGCTCCTATTTCACACGAAGTGCGCGCGTTTATGTAACAGTCCGACACAAAAGGTGTCCTTTCTGCTCCTTTTGGCCTGATAACACACATTATGCGCATTTTATTTCACAGTCAACGCATTGTTCTTTCTGGCTTTTCGCTATTGTTCAGGCCAAAGAGCGAGAGAGAGAGAGGGAGAGGGATAGAGGGAGAAAGGCTAATGCCTTTGGGTCAGCCCAGTCCCTGTCCGTGTTATCCTTGTAATGCGCTTGTTTCAGTTGTTCATTGTGTCTGTAATTTGCCTGGTTTGCCAGTTGTTTTATTTGCTTTTCATTTGCCTGATAAAATATGCATATGCTTAAGCACTTTCGCCTTTGGGTGAGCGGCTTTTTGAAGAGTTCATGTTTTGCTCTTTGTGTCATCTGTTCAATATTAAAATTGATTTTTGTTTGTTTTTACTCATAAGCCTGGGCAGCTTTGTAAGCTTATAGAAGTAGTTCTAAGCAGGCCACTGGCACAGCTCATATCCTGCGGATAAAAGTTACCATGCACTTAACTTATCTGATAATTGTTTGTTTTTACCTCTAACTCCAGGCAAGGGGCTTTTGCCAGGCATCAGCTTAATAACAAGCAGCCCATATCCTGCAGATAAAAGTTACCAGGCACTTAACTCGTATTTGACAATTGTTATTGCTCTGCGAAGTGTGTTGCGTGCTCCACGCCACTTCTTCCCACAAACACACACGCATATACTCACAAACACCCTGTGTACTGTGACACACCCCTTTTTGGCACTTGGCAAACAATGCGAATCGTTCGAATCACTCACCTATGCAAGAGTATTCAATAAATACTCAAAAAGTGCGTTCGAGTGTGCGATGCACTTCAGAAAGAGGGAGAGAGAGAGAGAGATAGAGAGAGAACGATTGAGAGGGGGGTAGAGAGAGGATCATTTGCAGAATACAATGACACTTCAGTACGCACGCACACACGCACACACACATGAAATGGTAAAATAATGAGCATTCAATCGAGTAGCTGCCAGGACAATGGCAGTTCAGGTAGCCGTATAAAAAATGGTTTTATGCGTTAAGCCAAATTGAATTTGATTGAAGTGAATTTGATTGCAGATTGATGATTGACGATTGACGAATGAATAGAAAGACAGCCAGACAACAGCTGCAGGCAGCACTTGTATCATAAATAAATGTTCTGTTTTCTTCTAGTTTTTTTTTCCAATCTCGTGTTTTCGTTTCAGGAAATGCAATGTTTAAATTTCCGGCGCTGCATCAATTTGCATGGACAATTGAATTGTTGTGCCTGTGTCTGTCTTGTTGTGTGCTGTGTCTGATGTTGCATGCAACACGGGCTGGCCATTAATTGAATGCCAACAAGCCGTGGCCGCAGCTCTTTGGCTCTTTGGCTCTTTGATGTCTTGGCCATGCATGGCGCATAAATAAATCTGTTGAAAGCTGCGGCGTGTAAGAAGCGTTAAAGTTTACCTTTTATCGGCTTAAATCAAACACAATGGAAATCAACGGAAAACAGGCGTTTAATGCCCCGAAAAAAGAAAACATGCACACACACATGCAAGTGGAAAATACAAAAGAAAATTCAAATACATGATTTTTAATTTATGCCAAGACAAGCAACAAGAAATAAATGTTAATGGAGCAGAGCCGACAGCCAAAAGAAGGCACACAGTAGTTTCCAAAAGGTGTTTTACTCTTCCTCCCTCGCCCTCTCTTCCACTTCGTTCCCCCTGCTCCCGGCTAATGCAATAATAACATGGGCTGGATCAGAGCCGTGTTGATCCTGGCCTGCGGAAAGGTAACTCTAATTGATGATGAAGCATGGCTATGGCCATTGTTTGGTCAGCGAGGTGTTAGCATATTTTCGTAATCAAATTCTGCTGTTACAATAAAAACGAAACCAGGTAACAGAACATAAGCCCCAACCGAGCACCTTTAAGCCAGCTGACAGCAGCAACAGCAACGATAACAATAGAGCTAGCAGCCCGGGGCACCTTTGCCTTGCATTGCACACTTCTAACAAAAACAGTTGTTAGTTTTCCATTTATTGTGCATTTAGAGATCGAGAGAGACAGAGAGAGAGACTGACAAGAAGAGTGGAAATTAGTTGAAGTGGACGCGGCATGAGTTGCGCCTTTCGGGCCCTGGACTCTTGATGAATTTATTGAAATGTTGCCTTTTGTGCTGTGAAGGTTCCTTTTCTTCTACCACGATATGTAAGAAGAAGAAGAAGAGCACACCCTGGCATATGCACAAATTTCATGCTGGAAAATCAAACAGCTGCTGAAGTGGCTCAGCGAAACGTTTATATAAAACCACCCCAGAAGAGGCAACAACAACAACAACAACAGCCCACACGCAAGGCCAATCAGTAGCTGGAGCAGCAAAAAACCGCAAAACCAATTTATTGAATTGGTTATGTAGAAATTGGTAATACATAAGTTAACTATTATTGAGCAAAGTCAGCGGTCAGCAGCTAGCTAACTTTATAGGAAAATCCACCAAGTCCATAGACTAGAGCCCAGTCAGAGAAAATGCCAGTCTAAATTCTAGTTAAAATAGAAATGAAATCAATATCGCTTTGTTTCTACAAGCTTAAGCTAAATTTGGATTACGATTTTAGCAAATATTCTTCAATTGAGTTGTATTCTTCTCGATTTCAAAGTTTGCTTTTGATGTTACGAGAATGAATTAATTAGAATTCTAGAATTAAGTGAAAAAAATACTTGAGTTTTCCTTAAAGCGTATAGCAACAATTTGAAATATCAAGTTATTAAAACTAGCCAGAAGAATAATTTCTCGCTCATTAAAAAAGTATTGAGCTTTTTGAAATTTAGACAACGATTGTGCTTAAATTGAGTAAAGGATTCCACAAATTTTCTCAGAGAGTGCAACAAAAACTTAAGTTTGAGATAAGAAATTTTGAAACTAAAAAGAGTTCTAGATATTAGAATTCTTGATTGACGTAAGTAAGTATTGATCCTGGTTGAACCTTGATTTCCTTTGTTCTACAATTAATTAAAAAAACTGTTGAATATTTCTTCGAGTGTATGGCCAGCGCATAAGCCAAAACATATCTATCTATTTGTTGTAGCTGCGGCATGTTAGCAATGTTCAGATACAGCTGTAAATTAGTAATATGCAACAAACTTGGCTATTAGAATATTTTGAATGGCATTTCGTTTCGTTTCGTTTCGTGTGCTGCGCGGCTAATTTGACAGTTTTATGCCACACCAAAAAGTTTAACAACAAAAAGTTGAATAGACACGTGTGTTTTTCGGGGAGGCTTTCAAAATGTCAGAGCCGAGAGATATACATGGAACTGCGTCTAGTTTATGACATTTTGGAAAACACGCGTCTGTCTGCCCCGCGGCGCATTTCAAAATTTATGAACTCGGTTTTTCGTTTTCGTCTTTGTCGGGAGGGGGGGGGGGGGGGGGGGCTACTTACTTAGCAGCTCCACATAATACCTACACACATATACATATCTATATATTTATGCGTGAGTGTGCCCCAAATATCGTAAAATGATTTTAACATTTTTTTCCACTAATTTCGTTTTATGCTGAGTTCAAATTGTAAAATGTTTATAGTTTATAGTTTCTGGCCGGGTTAGTTTTGGATATGCTGTCGTTTATTTTTTCCTATCTGCGGCTGCAATTAGCGTCGCATTCGCTGGAAAATCCTTTGTTTGGACACATGTGGCATGTGGCATGTGGCATTGTGTGCTCTTTTTTTAACGCCGTTTGACACGTTTTCGTTTTTTTTTTTTTTATATGTTTTTGGCTATTTTTTATAGGTGTAAAAAATGGGGTCATATCAAACGCTCTTCGAATTGAGCTGCTTCTTTGTTTATTTTTATTTTATGGGAATTTAAAAAACTCAACTTTGATGAGTTTATTAAATGGAAATTAAAATTGTTGAAATTATTTCGTGCTCGTATATTTTAATTGCATTTTATGGGCATTTTTATTTATGTGGGCAGCCAACTATGGGAATTTTTATGCCCGAACAGATGATTCTCAAGTGGCCAAATGCAGATGGAGATATGCAAATGGTGCATTGAACTTGGGAACTGTTTAGAATTGAGTTCTTAAACCTGTGCGTAAACAGTCAAAAAGGGAATGTTCAGTTTGAGCTTGAAGTATGTTTCTTTTTTTGATATACTTGTGTTGTGCAGTTGAAGGCAACTTTTGCAGCTCATCTGTAAGTTTGTGGCATTTAAAACTGTGTCTAGTCGCGTTTGTTGCGTGCATATCCTTGTTGCACACAGTTGGGATACCCTTTCGAAGGATACTCGAATTTGCAAATCAAATATGTAACGCCTTGAGGGCCGAGTCTATAAGGTATGTATGTTATTGATCAGCTTAAAGAGTTGAGTCTATCTTTAGATAACTTTATAATTATTGGCAAATATCCGATATAAAATAGACGAGAATAGAATAGAATAGATGGGAGAATCCAATGGATGCCACCCATAGATCGAAAAGGCTCTTGGAAATTATCAAACGAATTTTTGAAGAATTTCTTTTTCTTAAGATAAATGTTTCATAAGCCAGAAATGAGCAGCAATTAGGAATCTCATTACGCTCCTATCAAAGAAGTCCAATCTGTAACTGGCAACTAACTTTTATTGGAATCATTATTTAACTCATCCTACAGGGTATTCAAAGTTTGGCCAGTCGAATTTCATTTGCCATTTTGCTCGACGTTTCTCTATTTCTCTAATGCACACAAATCCTTCATGGGAAGCCATATGAAACTCAAACTCAAACAGCTCAACGGACGCGGCTCAGCACATGACGAGCTGATGATAACGATGATGTTGCCAGTTGTCGCTGCATGTTCCTTGTTGTTGTTGTTGTTGTGACTTTGATGGCTAGACGAAAGCCAAACCCAACTAAACTATTTTTTGTTGGCTGGCCAGGCAGTCGTTTCGCTGATTAGGAGGGGGTTGAGAGCTTTTCTCTTTCTTTTTTTTTTGCGCATATTTGCATTACATTTGCCTGGCGTGGCATGTGGCAATCAGCACAACAACAACAACAAAAACACTTGGGGAAAAACCCGAAGAGTGCCCAGTGAAAATTTATATTGAGTCGAGCGTAAAAATAACAATGCAAACGGGCAGACGGCATGAAAATAAGTGAAATTGTTGTTTACTCAAAACGTTGGGGCAGACGCAAGTCTTCCCAAGAGTGTTGCAAAGGGGGGGGGGGGGGGGGTGGTTTGGGTGCAATATGGAGCATAAATTACAACAATGCATGCAATGCACCGCCGCCAATGTGGCCGTCGCCAGCCATTTAATTATGCTCATCAATTTGCAGTCAAAGCCAAAGCCGAAGCTGCCGCCGCAGTTGCAGCAGTTGCAGCTATTGCTGTGGCAGTTGCAGTTGCAGTTGCATTGGCTGTGGCACTTGCATTCGCCCATAAATCTTAACGAGGCCTGCACTTTAGTTGCGTTTGCTGCCTTTATGGAAAATTGTTAATTAAATGCACTTAAAAGCGGCGCAATTAATTCTCAACTTTTCCAGTCGCCTACTTAGAAATCAAAATGCAAATGCATCGAACATGTCTAAAATTATATATATATATATATACACAAGTGCATATATATAGATGCGCATGCATGTGCATACACACACACACACACACACACACACACACACATTAATCATTGCCCTTGAAAGAGGCCGCATCCGAGTGCCCACGAATTTAAATGCTCTGCTCATTGCTGCTAATCGTTTGATTTAAATTTAGAAATAGTTTATAGAAAATTATGAACATTGCTTTTATGGTGCCAGCCACTTAGGGTTGCCCAAAAAAAAAAAACAGAGGGCTCTAGTGGAGTGTGCCCAGCTGGAAGATACCCTGTAAGCAGGGTCTGCCTCTAATCTACAGATATCTTATCTTGATATAAATTGAAGGAAATGTAGAGAGAGAGAGAGATATATATATTGGTCAAATAAAAGATCAGCTGTGAAAGGACTGCGTGTTGTTTTAGTTTCTGAACATCGAACTAACAAGCGGAAAGTCGACGGTTCAAATATCACACACGCTCATTATTTGTATGCATGCAAATTTTGATTATAAGCAAAGAGAATAACGATTAAAACTAATTAAACACATGTTTTAAAATGCTAAGCTAGGTAGAGAAAAGAGAGGTAGAGAAAGAGAGAGAGAGAGATATATAAACTGGGAGAGAGAGACAGAAAAGTCACAGCTCGTTTCAGCTGGCTGAACAGACGCAGAATATATATTTTATTTATATACTTAAAACATGATACCCCTTCTCTGCCTATCTTTGGCTACAGGGTATACAAAGCAAGTCCCATTAGAGCTGCACTTACAGATGCCGCTCTTTGTCTGTTTGTCGACTCCATTTGCCGTTTTCGCTAGCAAATTTAATTTTCCACAGCAAAAAAAAAAAAAAAAAAAACAAGCAAAACAAAATGAAATGAAGACGGAAAAGCAGAAAAAGTATTTATCATTCGTTTAATTGTTTTAGATTTTAATCTGGCAATATGGTCGCGGCATGCACTTGGACTCGGCGCGACATATGTTTGAGTTTGAGTTTGAGTTTTGGGTTCGCTGTTGCCAACATTTTGTATGACAACTTTATTAGTTTTGTTTCACATCTGTGTGTGTGTGTGTCTGGTGTGTGTGGTGTGTGCACTTTGTCTGCAGTTTGTTGCCTTATCGTTTTGACCCGCGATGCCCGTCGCCTTTTTGCTTCGAGTTGAACTCGTCGAAAACTAATTGAAAACGTTTGTCAGCGTCTGTAAACAGACCCTCTCAACGTCTCCGTCCCTGCCCCTGTCCCTTTCCCTGCCCCTGTCCCTTTCCCCTGCCTCTGTCCGTGTCTTGCCAATAAATGTTTTCCTCTGGCATTTTTCGGCGCGTTCTCTGATAACGGATGCGTTGGCGACGCCGCCGAGGCCAACATTTGGTGGCATGTGGAAATCACGGCCTGAGGTGTCGAACGATTTATGCCGCATAGGCGTGCCTTTATACAAAATTGCGGTTGGGCCTATTCCAAATAGATCTAAGGGATTTTGTAATAAGCTTAATGCTGCAAGCCTGCTCGAAATAGAGTTCGATTTGGGCCGGAAGAAAAAAGAAGAACCTACAAGAAAAGTAACAGAGAGTAGAACTCCAGTTCGAGTAGAATATACGAGTTCCTGTTAAGCAATTCATCAGGAGACTGTGCTTAGAGATGAAGATAATTGTTATAAGATAATCCATAAGATCAAGAAGAATCAAGAGAGCAAAAACTGCATAGAATGGAGTATCCCAAGATGGAACAGAAAGAAGAGATATGATAATGCAAATGTTTTGATTTGTTATATCTATATCGAAAAATTCTTGTCTCGACTTTCTTGGAACTTTTTAGAATTATTTTCGCCACTCTCCGCACTCAAGTGATGTATTATGTTTAAGAAAAAAAAAACAAATGTTTTGTTAAACATTTCTCGGTTCCAGTAAACGGAATTCCCGCAGCGTGAGTACGCATAGAAGCCACGCCCACGCAGTGGGACAATCCTTTTGGGAGGAGCTCGAATAACACCTACTACAAAAATATTTTCATAGCTCAAGAGACGAGAAGAAAAACCAGAGCCCACAATGGGCATGCAGATAAAGAGCTTGCCTCCGACCAGAGACGGGTGTCAATTCCCGTGAAAAATGACAAGAGCAGCGGGAAAACACAATGATGTTGATGGAAATGCTGGAAAAATGCTGATGATAAATGCACAGCAGAGCAGATAAAAGAGGCAAAAGGCAGAAGCCAAAACGCAAACTGTCATTCAGTTTGAAATTACAAACCTCTTTTTTTTTTCTTCTGTGCTCCGGTCAACAACTGAAAGTCAGGCCCGAAGAGAGAGAGAGAGAGAGAGATTAGAGATATTTACACTCTTCTCTATAGAGCTGTCTGAGAAAACTAAGCTGCTGCTGGGTGAAGAGGGAGGAGGGAGGTGGAAAACACAGGTAGCTGCGTGCGTCGCGGCTTAATTAAGGCATTCGACTAATCAGCTAATCAGCTTTGGCATCGGCTCTGTTCCTCCTGGTCATGTAAATATTCCAGGGCATGTCGGCAGTCGGGCAGACGTCGCCAATGGGCCAGATAAAGCCTAGTTAGCGCTTATCGCAGATCAAACACGAATATGTTTATATAACACATGTGTACAAATAGGCTCGAGTGCATTTACATTTCGAGTCGACAATCAATCATTATCTTTATGAGTCGAACATATGTTTGCCATGCTCGGAGCTTATCGATACGGGAAAACTCGTCGCATTTTCGCTTTGATTTATACGATTTGTTCGAAATCTGAGCAGTTCTCTATTAATCGATTCCCCCCGCCCAATTTCTGCTCTTTCTGTTGGCTGTTCTGTTTGTTGTCTCAGCGATTAGCCTTCAGCCTGATTCTGTTTTTATGCAAATCATATTTATTTGATTATTTGTGATTTAGCGTTTGCTCTGATTTACGTCGACAGTTGGGTTTATTATGTTTTCTTCTCGTTGCTGTTGTTGTTGTTGTCTCTCGTATCTGTGACACTAAATCATTTTAATTGTTGTCGTTCGTATTTTGAATTCTCCCATCCTACATTTCCCTTCATTTTCCCCCCCAGTCCATCGATTCCATGTGCTGGCATTTTCATGTGTGGGGCTTTAAGTTTGGGTGCGTGTTGTTTTTTTGATACGTGGGATTTGTGGAGATTACTCGTGTGTGTTGTGTGTTGTGGGTGGCAGTTGTGGGGTCTATTAATTTGCATGTGAAAAGATTTTCGAATTATGTGTTATCTATACAGAAAAGGTGTCTTCAGCTGCAAACAATACTCTATATGCAGTGTGATTTTATTAGTGAGACTCCTAATAGGTTAAAAGATATATCTCTGTGTTGCCAATCAAATTAATCCCTTTTCTATTTCAGACTTACTTTTTGGCCTTTTCGCAAGAGGGTTTGATACCATAATCCTTTAAAAGTATTTTATATACTTTCCCTCTCTATTAATAGACACATTATCTACGACATGTCCACCTAATACTGTTCACCTGCTCCAAAAATGTCTTCACTCTCCCTGCATAGTCTATCATTTTATGCTTAACTTAATCCCATTTGATCCGAAAGATATCTATATCCAATAATCCCTAAAGATTTTCCCTTATTCCAAAGTCTATTATTTTAATCTTAGCTCACGTATCCCATATTGTATTTCATACTCTGCCCTTCAGATGTTTTGTTTTTTATCATATTTCATAGTCTTTTATTCTTAAATTATATTTAATTCACACTTACCAACTTTGCATTATCGTGTGCCTTCTTTTGTGTATCCTTTTTACGTTTAT